TGTCTTCGGAATATCTTCATCCTTAACCCTTACCTGATGGTACCCAGACCTCAAGTCTATCTTTGAAAAACACTTGGCACCTTGCAACTGATCAAACAAATCATCAATTATTGGGAGCGGGTACTTATTCTTGATCGTCACCTTATTCAGCTGCCTATAATCAATACACATTCGTAAGGAACCATCTTTCTTCTCACAACCAAAACAGGTGCTCCCCACGGTGACGTACTAGGTCTGATAAAACCTTTTTCAAGTAAGTCCTTTAATTGTTCTTTCAACTCTTTCATCTCTGCGGGGGCCATTCTATAGAGAGGAATAGATATTGGGTGAGTATCTGGTAGTAGGTCAATAGAAAACTCAATTTCTCGCTCTAGCGGGAGACCGGAAGCTCATCGGGAAAAACATCGAGAAACTCATTAACCACTGGGATGGACTGAATGGTTGGTGACTCCACTTCCATATCCTGAACCCGAACTAAGTGATAAATACAGCCCTTATTGATCATCTTCCTTGCCTTGAGATAGGAAATAAATCTACCTCTCGGCGATGTCGTGTTACCTTTCCACTCCAAAACAGGCTCCCCAGGAAATTGAAATCGGACTATCTTTGATCTACAATCAACGTTGGCATGACAAGAAGCCAACCAATCCATACCCATTATAACATCAAATTCTACCATATCTAACTCGATTAAGTCTGCTACAGTAGGTCGACTATGAACTACTATTATACAACCCCTATATACTTGCTTAGCTATCACCGAGTCCCCAACAGGTGTAGATACCTCAAAAGGTTTAACCAATTCAGGTTTTATTCCAAACTTACCAGCAACTAGCGGAGTAACGTATGATAAGGTGGAACCTGGGTCAACTAGTGCATATACATCATATGAGGAGATTGATAATATACCTCTAACAACATCAGGCGATGACTCCTGGTCCTGTCGTCCTGCCAATGCATAAATACGGTTCTGAGGGCTGTTCGAGCTAGATGCTCCGCCTCTGCCTCTACCACGACTCATTGGTGCTTGGGGACCTTGCCCAGGGGGACGTACTGATGATGACGAACCAGCTGCAGATCCCGACGGCTGAGCTAGGCTTGTATCACCTCTCATCGGACAATCCCTCATAATGTGGCCCGGATAACCACAAGTATAACAAATACCTAACCCCATACGACACTGCCCGGTATGCTGCTTACCACATTGAGTACATCTTGGCAAGGGTGGCCTCATCTGATTTGACTCACCCCTATACTGAGAACCTGAGGCCCTAAAATTCTGGCCAGACCCTGAATATGTAGAACGATCAAATCTCTTACCGCCAAACTGAGGGGGCGCGCTAGCCGAGGGTTGGGATGGATACCTCGAGTACCGCTGCCTCTGACCACCTCAAAACTCACCAGAAGGACCCGAAGACCTCGTTCTCTTATTCTGGGCCCTATCATGCTCACGATCGGCCCTCTGTTTCTGTTTACGCTTATCTACACCCCGAGCGTATGCCTAGATACGAGAAATACCCATGTCTGGATGAAGTGAGACCGACATACAATCGTTAAGCAAGTGAGGTTCTAATCCCATCACGAACCGGTGAACCCGATCCTCCATCTTAGATACAATAGTGGGAGCATACCTAGCCAAGAATTAAACTGAAGGCTGTACTCCCGAACACTCATGTTACCCTGCCGATGGGTCAAGAACCTATCAACTCTGGCCCGTCTAAGCTCTGGTGGCAGATAATGACAAAGAAAAGCTTCTGTAAACTCCTGCCATACTGCTGGAGAGGCATCCTCACCTCTGGACAATTCCCAAGACTCGTACCAATTAACTGCAACATCTCGAAGTCTATAGGAAGCTAGCTCAACTGACTCAGTCGCAGTGGCCTTCATTACCCGTAACGTCCTCTGCACTCTATCAATAAATACTTGAGGGTCCTCGCTTGGATCTTCTCCAGTGAATATCGGAGGGTCTAAATTAATAAAGTCACGAACGCTCGCACTCATAGACCTATCTGCATGACCAATACCTACTTCGTGAGGCCGAGCCTGTGCGGCTACTAATCGGGTCAATAACTGAATAGCATCTCTCATCTCCTGACCCGGTGCATCTGGCTGAGGAGCTGGACGTACAGGGGCGGGCGTTGGAGCGGGTGCCCCTCAAAGCTCTTCTGGAAAGGGCGGGGTATGTGAAGTTTGAGATGGAAACTCACCATGAGACTCTCCCCGAGCCCTGGTAACTCGTGGCGCTCAACTAGTTGTCTCACCAGCCATGGACTTTCCCTTCTGGGCGACCGTACTCTTTGGAGGCATCGCTGAAAATATAACATATCGTTAGGAACATGAATTCTTGCATCGCACGATCTGAGATAAAAAGAGAGGATAACATCCTATATGTCCTATAGCCTCCTATTTATAAGTGTGGTGCACAACACACCCATAAACAAGACTCTACAAGACACGGTCTGTAGACAACCCTAGGATAGATTTGCTCTGCTACCACTTTTGTCACGACCCAAACTGATGGACCACGACGGGTGCCTGAGTCCTACCTGTCAAACACCCCTAAGCATGCGTCTAAGATATGAATCTGAATAACATCTGCTGAACTACGAAAATAACATATATGAAGGAAACGTGCCAACAAGGCATATGTACGTATACATGCATGATACAGTGGGTAAGCCGGCAAGGCTTCTATAGACAACTATACACCCAAAACTGAAGGCCGACAAGGCCACATACAACCCAAGACATATTGTCCACAGACCTCTAATAGAAACATAACTGTATAAAGACGGGACTGAACCACGTCATACCCATATACATATATATATATATATATATATATATATATATATATATATATATATATATATATACACACAAATGTATCGTACCAAAATCAAAAGCAGCTCCGGATCAAGTGGAGCACGCCAACTCTCGCTGATCAGGGATCCTAAGAAGGGGGACCGTCAGCTTGCCTACCTGCACCTGCGGGCATGAAACGTAGGCCCCGTGAAATAGGGCGTCAGTACAAAAAATGTACTGAGTATGTAAGGCATGAAAATTTGTACGTAAAAGACATAGATGAAACATAGAATAAGGAAACACATCTTTAAATCTGAATAACTTTGTAAATTCTGAAACGTTTATAATGTCATGCATGTGCATATAAATGTCATGCCATGCATAGGTATGGGTGTACATAATATTATCAAGCCACTGAGGGCATCCTATCATATCATCTCGGCCACAGTGGGCAACATCATCAACATATACCAGCTGATCAGGTGGTGGTGCGTATATAACACCGTAACCTTTTTCCATATCCCATATACATATTTCTACATATATACGCGTATATAACGCCATCTGGTCATGGGTCAATGCACATGTATAAATGAGTGAAATGCATGAAAAATATGTAATAATCTCAATATTCCTTCCGAATAAACTTTTTCAACTGTGTATTATTCTGAGGCCCATGAACAGAAGATAATAATATTTTTCATGGGGAATCAAAATATAGACACCCCTACTATTTCTATTAATAGAGTAATTTATGGAAACTGTGTGTTTGCTCGTTTCTTCAGTATAATTTGGACCATACCAAAAGAAAGAAGGAATGGCCTTAACATGCCTTCCTTGAATTATTTGAACGTAGTGAAGCTTCTATGAAATATGTTGAAACGAGAGAATGAAGCTTCTGCTTCTGAATTTGAACGAAATTTGCTTGGACAGAAGACTTCTAACGTTTTCCTTAGCTTCTAACCTATCAAACTAAGAAAGGGAAAGTTTTCTTGTTGTGTTGGGATCTCTCATGGTCATGAAAATGGTAACAATTGAACAAAATCTCCTACTAATCTTGCTACTGTTTGTATTTTTAATGGAAGTGAGAATGAGACTTTGTTTTAAAGTCAGAAAGCAACGTTCTGTTGTTCCTAAGTCTTTAAATGCCAAGTCTTCAAAATGAAATGAATTGGAAAGACTTGGATATCCAAAGTCTGGAAAAAAATGAAAGGAATTTGTATCCATTTGACACCTAATCAAGGAATGACTCTAAGTCATTTCTTGATAATGTGGCTAGTTGCCACGTGGGGTGGGGTGGGATATTTAATTTTTATCCACTTATTAGGTAATTAGGTAATGTCCCGTTATTCGGTAATTAACCAATTACCCGCATAATTTAAAAATTGCCTCAAATTACATAAAATTCAACTTATTTTTTAATATCTTTCATATATACTTTATACATTATACTACCGTGGTCATATGGTACCTTGCATGGTACTAGTTCATAATTATCGGGTATTATCGCTCGACCCGTATTTTATCCCAAATTGGCCACTCTCAACGAAACTCGTTTTCTTTAATTCGTGTACCCCTTTATCCTTCATAACACTTATTTATCGCTTGTTACAAATAGCGTAAATACGTTAACGTCAAGATGATCTCGTCCCCGAGTCCACGTCGGTTAACTGAAAACGAAGCTTTTAACGTACGAAAACGCGAGATGTAACATATGGATCACAACAGGGGTTCCTATTCAGCGGAACACCCTAAATTTTGAGGCAAAGGGATGGCAGACGTTTGTGTGTAGCGGACTAGACTGGTACCAAAATGAAACAAATCTCCCAATCCCGCGGGCAGTGCTAGTCGCCTTTATCATGGCCGGGTACCCAATCAATGTGGGTGCCGTGATGTCGGCCAATATGTCTTTTGTTGGCAGGCAAGGTGACAGCTCCTACCCGTATCCCAACACTATCACGGTTTACCTTACGGATGCGGGGGGTGGAGCTGAAGAGTTTTGACACAAAGGTTCGGGCAAAGAAGCCTTTCACTTGGTATTCTTTGAAGGACCCGAGGAACCCGAATAATAAAGTCAGTCCACTACCACCGTAGGCCAGTCTGATGAGCCTTTGATAGTAGCTGCAGAGTCAGCAGACATGCCTTCCACTGCAGCAGGGCCTTCTACCAGTGCAGCTGCCATGCCTCCACCTCCTTCTTCTGGGCCTTCAGCATCATTTCCCTCCACTTCGACTTTGAGGCTGGTGCCTATGCCCGCTCATCCACTATCTGCGCTGCGAGTCTCCCAAATACTGGCGAGCCTCAACATTTGGATGCAGATAGCTACTGCAAAGCTATCTAACTTATCCAATGCTATTACAGCCCAGATATCTACCCAGCACCCTAGATTCCTCCGACGGTGGAGGATACATTGAAGAAGATTTTGGAGAACCAGCAGACCATCATGAACACTTTGGTAGCACATGGAGCAGTAATTGAGGAGCTTGGGAAGCAGGTAAAGAAGATGAAGAAATCCCGGGCATCTAAGAAATCAATAGACATATTGAGGAGAGAGGTCACCAAGATAGCAGCCGCTGGAGAACTTCCATTCGATATGCCGATGGAGACAGATCCAGCAACACCAGTAGATCCAGTAGCACCATCAGCACCAGTGGCACTAGCTGGCCAGTCTGAGAAGCCACACCTGGTTGTCGACACTGCTGAGGCGGTGCGACAGATGTTCGCCAACCCAGATACTCCCAAAGCCGAGGATGATGAGATCCAGTTAGAGGAGGCTGAGGGCGGTGACGCTGCTATGGACACAGAGATGTCCAAGGCCACATAGGGAGTCCTCTTTACTCTTACCCTTCCTTAGTCTTATTTTGTTAAGCATTGGCGAAAATGCTTATTTTTTATTTGCGGCGGGGGAGGGGGGGGGGTAGGGGGGGAGTTTACTCTTGTGTTGACTTAAGCAATCATCGAGTGGTTTAGTCGAACCATTAGTGATTTTCAATCTTGAATATGGCCGTTGTGGGCCCTCGACTCTATCATATTTAACAATCCAGATGTGTGAGAGGTGAGATACTTTTCTTGCAAGTCCAAGTACCCGTGCGAATGGTATAGAACTTGCCCCGAATGTGTTTCTGGGCAAAATTTTAAGTTTTGCTTGGCTTGAGAAGTGATTGTAGGCTCTCCTTGACCCGCCTGAAATTTTTCATATCCCACCAATGATGTTATCCCTAGTCAACCTATTTGAGCCTAAACCTTTCTCATTTGATAACCATGTTACAAGCCTTTACCTATTTTGTTGTAACCCTCTCTTGGCACCCGAGCTTTCCTTATCACTCTCGTGAAGCAATTGGCTAAAAATATAAGTTTGGGGGAGAGACGTGGAGTTTGAAAAGGTATCAAGGCACAAAAAGAGAAAATAAATAAGAAAAGGAAAGGCAAGAAAAAGAAAGAAAGAACAAAAAGAAAGTGAATAAGTTGAAGAGTTGAAGGGATTCAAAGAAAAGTAACGATGCAAAGCATGGAGAAAACAAAGAAGGAGAAAATGAATATCATGATCAAGAAAGAGTGATGTTAAGTCTCTCTAGTTCCCCTAAGGAAAAAGAAAATGCCTCAAAGAGTTGGCAAAACATGAGCCGATAAAAGAAAATAGAGTGCTTAAGGAAAGATGAACCCATTCTATTACAACGTATCTAACCTTACCCAAAAAGCCTTCATTGCATTCCGAAAAAGCTCTACGTGATTTCAAGCCGAGTGAACTTACATTAGTGGTGATCTATATGAGGGGCAAGCATATGGTATTTAGAGCCGTACTTGTGACATTCTTTTGAGAGAGATGCGCGAGCCTTTCACAAATCTTTAAATTGAGTGCTACATTCTTA